GCCAGTATCGTTGGGATCCCGCCCGTCGTACCGCGCCGCGGCCGCTGCCTGTGCCCAGGCGGGAAAGTCGTAGCCGCCGGGCCCCCCCGCGGCGCCCAGCGAGACGGTGGCGGGTGCGGTGCGGCCAGAGCGCAGCTCGGCGAGCGCGCGCCGGCTGTTTGCGAGGTCCTGCGCTGCCCACTCGGTCCTCAATGTGGTGTAGGGGCCAAAGGCGCCAAGCTCGGCGCCCTGCTGCACGCGGATGAGGCCCTGGCCGTCGGCGCGGCGTGGGGGCGCGGTGACAGCAAGCAGGAGTGTGAGCAGCGCCAGCGGCTGCCGCGCGAGGCGAGATGGGGCCCTTGTCGCCTGGTGACGTTGCATGCCGCTTGATTCGACGGTGGACAGTGTGCCCTCAGCGAAGGATAATTTCTGGGCTTGTTCGGTTATCACGCCCGAATGCGCACATGACCCACGGGCCAGGCTGTTGCGGTATTCGCGTCGCTACCATGCAGGTGCGCGGGTCCCTATCGCTCGAAAATGGATATCTATCAATTACACAATTCAAACTTCGCAACAAGTATTCTAAGCAGCATAGTGCATTTGCGCTCGTACCGGAGGGCGTCCCTGCAGCACGAGCGGTGTGTCAGAGTGAGAGATTGCCCAAGCCAGCCCCAAGCCCAGACGCAGATGGTCTACCACACTCGTGTCACAATCTCCTGGGGGTGGGGGGGGGGCGGGAGGGTTCCCACCGCCAGGTGACGGGATACGACTGTCCGGGCCGCGCGCGCCGGACTGCGTTGACGCGCCTCCCCCCGAGGACCCCATGCTTCGCCGTATCACCCGCAGCGCGTTCAAGACCTTATTTACGACGCAAAGCGCAAGGAGGGCGTGTCAGAAACCAATGTCGGAGGGTGCTTGCTACCGGCGGCCGCACCCAGCCGTTCATGCACATGAACGCCCAACGAATCGGCAGCTGCATTGCTAGCTTCTGCAAATTCCCGGCGCCGCTCTCTCATCGCGCGACCCCTGCGCGAACAGCCTTCGTCCGTGTCGCTACGCAACCACCACGCATCTCACCCGCGCTATGCGGCCGCATCGCGCCGCCAGGGAGGTGAATCCCCATCAGGAACGGGTCTCGATGAGGGCCCCTTGTGGGGATTCCAGGCTGGGACCTCAGCACTCCTAATTTCCGCGCCCACCTGCCGGGCAGCTGCCCACCTACAGTGGTGCTAGATCCTGGTAGGCTCCCGCGTATATGGCCCCAGGGCTTCGCCTAGGGGCCCCCAGGCTCCAGCCGTTACACGCAAGCAGTGACGATGACGATACGGACAGAAGGCCGGCGCGGCAACGGCAGAAGCCCGGGTAGGCCCAAGCCCTTGCTCGGAACAGAACCATGCAGCACGGACAGCCGCGGCTTAGGCTGAAGCCAGCCTGTTGCGGCGGCGGCGCAGGCCGCCGCAGCGGGGCGCACGCACCAAGGCCTCTGTGCTGGATGCCTGCATGTAAACAGGGAAGTGACATGCTGTCAGTAGCTGGGTAGGAGCACACACCGCTGTATCATATGATTGTGATGGGGCGCGCCGTAGGGAAAGCCAAGTGCTGGTGTGGCCCGCCAGCACAGCAGCTGCCGGGCCTTGCCTATAATGACACGCCCGAGTCGGTTGCATGTGCCACACCCCGCACATGAGGACTTGTGAAGCTACATACCACTTGCACAGTTTCGGCAGTTTCGACGGCTTGAGAGAAGCCTTGTCCTCCCTTTTGGGAAAAAGGTTGGGAAATGCCCTTGACGCGCTGTTGCTGATGTGGCGTACCTGCTCCGGTGCGCTGGTCCAGCGTGGCCGCCGCCCGTCTGAAAGGCAGCACAACTTTCTCACCCCGCCCTCAGTCATGCTGCAAGCAATCCACAAGCCCATCTGCACAGCAGCGCTCCCCGGACGCACCCCAGCGCGCACAGGCCGCAGCAGTAGCCGTGCCAGCTGCTGAGACGCAGGCGTGCGTCTGCACCAGCGGCCCCAGCCTGACCTTGCTGCAGGTTTGCGGAGGCTGTGCGCGGCAATCCTGTACGCACCTGTTGATCTGTGAGGCTGCAGCTGCAATTATGCGTGAGCCTGGCATCAGCAGTCGCACGTGAAGGCCGCGACCTTGCTGTTCACCAGCACATGGGCAGCAGGGCTGTCACAACACTGCCTCAGCAGCATGCGGCTGCATCCCAGGTGTGCACCCGCTCTCATTGACTTCGGCATTGTTTACATTTTGCTGGCATTGTTGGAAGCGGCTCAAGTGCTGCGGTCCATTCTGAGTCCATATGCCCTGATGGGCTGTACATATGCTGGGTGCTGTTTCAGCCAAATACACGTGCCGGCTTGTATTCAGAGTTGGGGCATTCGGGAAGGCTCAGACAGATTGTGCACACGGTCACATGGGGGTGACTTGCCCTGTAATAGCAGGGGACACACTGGGGACTGCCGCGGCCCCAGTCCACCACTGCAGTGCTCTGGCTGTACAGCCACATGTGACTCGCACTGTCAAGCCCAAGGTCTAGTGGTACCGTACTGCGATCCTTGCACCGAGCCGTCAGGGCTGTTTTGTCCTGCACACGATATGCACGGCTGCATCACTGGCGTTCAGCAGTCCTCCGCTGCAGCGCCCGTGGAGCACGCCTGCTCGCCATGGGTGTGACACACCGCCCCTCACATGACTTCAGCCACCTGGGCACACCGTTGTGGCCCAGCGAGATTGGTGCGGATAAAGCGCGCTATATTGATGCTCCACCTGCGCAACTCACCTCTCAAACAACCCGATAGATCGCAGCGTGACAGCAAAGTTGTCCAAACGTGCGTTATACATCAGCGTGATCATCAAGGGGTTCCTTCTCAACCTCGTGAATCCAGCGCTTTGCTCACTCGCCACCTGCAGAGTGGGTCGCTCGGCGTCCGCGAGCGCGCACAGTCTGCAGGTGTGCCGCAGCACGGGGCCCCGGCGCCGGTACGACCCTACGAAGCAAGCAGAGCTCAATCTCTTGCAGCTGCAGTATACAGCTTCGCGCTGTGTGACGTATGCACCGCGCGCCGCGGCGTCGCTGTGGGGGAGCAAAACGCGGCATCTGCAGCTGCGAACCGCCAGGGGCGCCGGTGTGAGCGGCAGCGCGACGCGACCACCCAGCCCCACCACCCTTGGCACCCCCTTGGGCGCAGGTTTTGGGCTCTCCCGACCACTAGCGTGCTTCTCATCACGCCGCGCCCGCCGCCGCCCACCGCCGCCGCCGCTGCCCCCGTCCCCAGGCTCCCCTCTCGCGCCCGCCGCGCCCCAGGATGTCGCGCGCGCGCCGCTGGCTGGACCAGCACCCCTCCACCCTGTTGAGGGTCCTGGAGGGCGTGGTGCGCTTCCTTAATGTGGCCCTGGCGGTGGCGGGCCTGGTTGTCTTCGCCTGGGGGGCGGTGACTCTGGCCCAAATAAAACACATGGAGGAGCCACGCGGCGGCGGCGGCTCGCCGTCGCCGTCGCCGCCGCCGTCGCCGTCCCCCAAGCCCGGGCCGCAACCACCGCCGCGTTTGCTCGGCGGCGTCCCCGGCCTGGCGCCGCTGCTGTCTCTGCTGCCCGGCGCCCCCTCCGACGGCCTCGAGTGCCCCTGGTTTGTCTACGCGTTCGCGGCGGTAGGCGCGGCGACGGCGGTGGCGGCGCTCACAGCGCTGGCGGGCACCGCGCTGCGCAGTGTTGTGCTGGTCAACCTGAACGTGCTGCTGATGTGCCTGGTGCTGACGGCACAGGTGGGTGGGTGGGTGGGTGGGTGCGTGGGTGGGAGGGTGGTGCATGGGAGTGTGGCAGGGCTGCTCTTCCAGGGGCAGGGGGGGAGGCGTAACTGACGCGGCCATGACCGGAGGTTGTGGCTGGGATGTCGCGCAGCAACGCGGCGACGACGGGAGGTCGTGGCTGGGATGTCGCGATGGCAGCCACCTGTGTGTCCTCGCGTGCGTGTCGTTGCCTGAGCTGCGCGTCACAGGCCCTGCTCAAGCCTGCGGGATCTAAATGGCCAACACAACTGTGGCAGCACCCCGCCTCACCCCGGGCTCCGCTCCCACCTTTATCGTCACTCCACCCCTCTACACCCCTGTACACCCCCATGGCCCCAGGCCTGTGTGGGTGTTGCGGCGTTCCTGGATCACAGCTGGGAGCGGCGGCTGCCAGACATTGATGAGGCAGCAAAGGCCTGGCTGGCCAAGAGGCTGCAGGTGCGGGGTCGAACAACGAATGGTGCTGATGTGGACGCAATCGAGCAAAGGAGAAGGCGGCGACATTTCCAGCCATGCGGTCATGGCGGTTGGCTGAGGGTGCCCCGGGCATGGCGATCTTCTGAATTTCCGGACGGCTGCTGGGTCGCGAGCTGGGCAGGGGGACGCTGCGGCAGCGTGCTGATGGGGTGCGGCGGCAGCCCTGGGCGATGACATCACCAGGGACGGCGCCGTGTGACTCAGGATGATTACATTTGACAATGTTTGCTGCAGGTGGTCAAGTGGGTGGGCGCGGGGCTGTTCTTGCTGCAGCTGGTGACGCTGCTGCTGAGCTGCGGGCTGCAGAGCGCCTACGCCACCGCCGAGGAGGCTGCGGAGGACGAGGAGGAGGAGGCGGCGTGGAGGCGGCGGCCGCTGCTGCAGGGCGAGGGGCGCGCGCCAACGCCACCCTGGGGCGTCCTCGGGTGGGTGGTCCGCGCCGTTCGAGGAACAAAGGGAGGCATTGCAGGGTTGGTTGCAATCGTCTCTGCATCACGTCGCAAGCAAGCAGTCAAGGGCTGCACCGAGTGTTGAATGAAGCGCTCCCTACTGTTTAACAAGCAGCCTGATCCCGGGTTGCGTTCCAACCCCCATGCGTGCGCCCTCGCAGGGGCCCGCAGCCTGCCGCAGCCCGCGGCATCACGCCGCCGCTGCCCGGCAGCCGCGACGCCGCGGCCGGGGCGGCCACCCCCGACCCCGAGGAGGCTGCGTGGCGCGCGCGCATGCAGGAGCGGTATGGGCTAGACACGACCCAGTTTGGCGGCGCGGCGGGGGCAGCGGGACAGGGGCGGCAGAGGGGCGGGGGCAGCAGCGAGGTGCGGGACAGGGGCGGCTGCGTCGTGATGTGACGTGCTTCGGCAATATGCGTGGCAAAGACCAAGGGCTCGTCATTTTTTTCACCACTGCGCTTTGTGCCACTGCGGGCCCCCTGTACCACCGCACCCGACTGTCCGCCCTGGCCACTATGGCCATGAGTGCATCGCCCCTGGCAACTCGGCAGAGGGGCCTGGGCGCGTCCTCGTTTCATCGATACGCGGCCTTGTAATGATGCATCCCAAGCCGCTGGGATGGGCTAGATGTGCATGTCTATGCGATAAGCATCCTTGTGAAGACCCACCCAATGGCTGTAAGTGTGCGCCCTTGGCCTTCTGGCTTCCCAGCTGTTTGCCAAACCTGGCATCATGGCGCACACTTCAGCAGGCATGGCAGTTAAGGGGAACGCCTTGATCAGCTGTTATACACAAAGGTCGTGTCGTTTCCTAGCCTGGGCGCAAGGTTGATGGAGGGCACTTGTTGAAGGGCCAAGGAAGGGGTTGCAATGGTGCGTTGACGCGGCGGGCAGGGGGCGCTTATGGTCGGTGCCCACAAGGCACGGGGAGTGTGGAGGGAGTGTGCGCACCAAGGCGGCCGACTGGCAAGGCAGCGCGTGGCGCGCGCCTGTCAGAGTGAGCAGCCCCCCAAGATGTGGCACAGACATTTTATGGGTTTTTGGTATCACCAGGCGCGTTCAAGTGCATGGAAGCTCGCGAGACGCTGACCCTTGTGCAGGGGGGCCCTGCAACAGCGCCTTAGCCCAACAAAGGCGAGCCAGACCAATTCATACGAGTATATTCATGGCAAAATGTTTGTGGCAAGAGGAAAATAATGCAGTGGGGGTCAAATCTACACGTCCATATGACCCTGGCCTGAGTGATTGGGAGATGCTCTTGAATGGATTTGTTGCCATGCGTGTACCCTCCGCCCGCCCTGCCCCCCCCCCAAAAGGAAACTTCACTCCTCATCCCAGGTTGTCAAGAGTTTGTGTGAAATTATTGTGGCGATGCCGCGGCAGCAGGCCGAGGGCAGTGTGCTGCTCCTATTGCGGCATCACACGCCCGCAAACTTGGCGATCAGAGCCGCTGCGGTCCGCTGTGCGTCCACCCAGGGGAAGTCGTGGCCGCCCTCCATGACGGCCAGGGTGGCGTTGGATGAGAGGGTCGACAGGTAGGACAGGTAGAGCTGAGGGTTGGGAGGGGGGATGGTGGGATTTAGGGGCCCAGGAGGTGATGCCTGGGTGTTGGGCCTGGGAGCACACAACCGTGGGCGCGACCGAGTGCTCGAGGTCATCCGGGACAGAGACGCGTGATTCACGGCGACCTATGACATGTAGTCGGCGTTTCCAGCAGCAGCAAACTTTGACCAACCACTATGTGTGTGCAGCTCCCAAGCCCAGGCCGAGGCCCACCCTCTTGCAACATTTGTCACACCTTTGCATACCAAAGCCCTGGAGAAGCCAGGACCGCCGCCTGGCAGCTTGCGTTCGCCACCAGCTCCCCCGCCGCGCACGGCAGCGCCGCCCCGCCGCCGCGCTCCCCCGGCGCGAGCGTCTCCGAGGCCGGCATGAGGAGCAGCGGCTTGGCGCCCAGCGACGGCCACCCGGCGATGGGGCCGCGTGGGGCGGCAGCAGACGCGTCCGGCCAGAAGGCGGGGCGGCCTGAGAGCGCCACCAGGTCGTCGGTGATGGTGGGGTGACTCATGGTGGCGGAGAAATCCACGTACTGCGATGCAATGTGGTGAGAGGCGGTGTGGTCATGGTAGCGGTGGGTGGTGGGTTTCTTGCGCGTGCAAAACAATGGGCCTGCAAAAGAGGGGCCGGGAGGTTGAGGTGCAGAAGCTAGCGACTAGCTCTTGGAGGCTGCACGAGCATCCTCGGCGCTTCAGCACCAAAAAGCTCTTGACAGGCTGCCCTCGCAGCAAGCCTGCAAATGCCCGTTTGCGTGGTTGCAGCCGCCAGTGCTGGCACATCGCCCGCACCTGAGCCTCCCACCTGCACGCAGCAGTGTGGGGGATGGAGGAGGGAGGGCCAGGGTGCAAGAATGAGGTCAACAGCTCCATGAACAAGACAACAGCTGTGTGTGTGCGTGCATGCGTGCGTGTGTGCGTGCATGCTTGGGTGCGTGTGTGTGTGTGTGCGTATGCATGTGCGTGAGTGTGCGCTCGCATGTTTGTGTGTGTGTGTGTGTGTGTGTGTGTGTGTGTATGTGTGTGTGTGTATATGTCGGCTGTGTGCGATGCAACCCGTGCGCACTCTTTGTTGGAGCCGTAGAGGGCTGCCAGGGCAGCGCCGTTCTCCGGATCAATGCGCTGCTTCACTGCGGGCAGGGGCGGCGAGGGTGTACAGTTGGCAGTGAGCAAGCGCAGGTTACTTGGTGGCCCCCTAGGCGCCAAGAATTTGAGTTGTAGGGGTGTTTCATGGGGTCATGGGGTTGTGCCCAGGGCAGGCTGAGCCGACGGCAGCTCAAGACCGACAGAACGGTAGCGCGTATGCGCAGTCTTGGCAGGCTGTCGCACAAGCGCACCGGCAGCCGTCCCCGTGCCGAATCTCGGCCAGGCAAAGGGCGTCGCCTGCAGCGGGGGGGGGGGGGGCGTGCTGCGTGTAACGCGCAATGCTTGGCAAGGCTGTGGGGATCGGCGTCCAGCAGAAATGAAATCTTCCTCCCCCCCAAACTGTGCGCGCCTGCCGATGCGCTCTGCCTATAGGAATAGCAGGGCAGCAGCCCTAACGGGCCCAGCCACCGGTAGCACCCTTCACCCCGACGCACCGCGCGGTATGCGTCAATAGCGCCCAGGATCCCGGGGCCAGAGAAGGCAAAGTTGGACTGCAGGTCTATGGCCGCCTGGCTGTAGGCGTCCATCAGGGCCAGGCCTGACACCCTGCGGGTATGGATTATGCGGGGGAAGGCAGGGTTGGGTGAGGGTGCAAGGGGTGGGCAGCGCTTGCAAGATGCCCTGGCTGGGCTGCATGCAGGGGCCGGCGTGCATGACGAGTGCTGGTACCATCAGCGCCGGCTGCGCTCTCACCCAGCTGTACTACCCAGCATGAGCTGCGAGGGTGCGTACACCGACTGGATCAAGGGCTGCGCTGCTCCTGCCACACCTCTAGGCCCTGAGTGGCCCCCCACCTGTCCGGGAACAGCCCCGCAAACTGTATGGACAAGTCGCCGCCGGCCGAGTGCCCCGCCAGGATCACGCCGCCGCCGCCCTCCCCCGCGGCGTCCAGCAGGGCCGCCAGGGCCAGCGGGACGCGGCGCAGCGTCGTGGGGCGCACGGCCACGCCCGACCAGCCTGGGGTTGCAGCGGGGCATTGATTTCCGCGGTGCTCTTCTGGCTGCGGGGTGCATGCGTACCCAGGCCATGGTGCCTTCACTCAGTCAATTGGATGGGACCACCGTAAACAAGCAAGATCAGAGGGCAGTCCCAAAGGCGTTTAAGCCATGGCGATTTTTAAGCACCATACGGGGACTGCGATTCCTTCCAGGGGATTTCACTCAACACGCACCATATCCTAGCCGGTCATACCAGCAGGCCCGCCGCCCGGCCGCAGCCAGGGCGTCGGCGATGTGGGCATATGCCAGGCCAGGCGCGCCGCCGCCCGCCTCAAACACGAACGTCGCCTGGCCAGGAGCGGGAGCGGGGCCCACGCATTGGATGTGCAGCTGTGGCTGGACTGCAGGGGAAATGGGGAGGCAGCGTGGCGGCACAGTCAAGGGGCAGGGGGCATAGCAAGAGTGCACCCACCCACGGTAAAGGTGCATTGCGCACAGAACGCGCTTGAATGGCCGCACGTGAGCAGGCAGGTGCACAGAGGCTGCCTCCGCTTCAGGCGCAATGGCCTGTTCACGCCACGACCGCCGCCACTCACTTTCAGAGCCGTCGACTGGCACGCGCAGCATGCGGCCGGGAGGCTGGTCCAGGAAGGCCCTCTGGTCGGCCGCCAGCCATGCTGCCTGCAGAGCCAGGAAGAACCCAAAGACCGCCAGAAAGAAGATGCTGGACCAGCCCACGCAGGAGCCAAAGCCGCAGCAGCAGCGCCGCCATGCTGCGCCGCTGCACGGTGGCGGCCGCGGGGCGCCGCTGCGGCCGCAGCAGCCAGCGCGGGTCGGCGGGGCGTCCACAGTCACCACATGCACTGTGTCTGCTGTGGCGCCAGGGCTGGCAGCGGCATCGTGAAGCCCGGGGATGGGCTTAGCGCCTGGGGCCAGCTGCCGGCGCTGGTGGATGGCGCCAGCCAGCAGCATTGCGCCGGGGAAGAGCCAGAGCGCTGCCCATCCGGCCTTGTGCATGTGTGCGTGCGTGCGTGTGTGCGCGCGCGCGCGTGTGTGTGTGTGTGTGTATGTGTGTGTGTGTGCGTGCGCGCACGCGCGCGTGGGCGTGCATGTGGGTGGGGAGTGGTGAATGGGCGCACGCACACGTCCCGCGGCGTCGGGAGACATTCATGCAGCAGGCTGCTGGAAAGCACGACGCGTGGTGCATTCCAACGACCAAGCTCTGTTTGTGCAGAGGGATCCGCCCGGGCATGTCGGGCTGGGCATGTCCACTACAGCTGGGCTGGCCCCTACGCAGTGCTGCACACGCCCAACGCCCGACGTGAGCGCGAAAACGCCACACGCTTGTGCTACCACAGCTGCCCACCTGCTCCGGCAGCGCCACGCCATATGATACCAGGATGATCAGGCAGCAGCAGAGCATCCAGGCAGCAAAGGCCACCCAGGCCCAGAAGCGAGCCGAGCGCCTGGACACAAGTTTCGGCGCCAGCCAGACCGCTGCTGCCTGTATCGTCAGCACAGCACCAAACCCTGAGCACCACATGCCACCAAATTGGTTGCCATACTGGCCGGCGGCATAGCTGCACACAACAAAGTTTGCGAGGAGGGCGCCGCCACCCAGCCGCTGCAGGAGGGGCATATTTCGTAGGTGATTCATGCTTGCTCAAACATGTACCGATGTGTCGTGTTCCAGCTGCGGATGACGCGGAACAGCAGGCCGTGCGAGATCTGGCGAACCAGCGTAGGAAAAGTGCGTAGAACAAGCGAATGAATATACACGCAATTACAGCAACTTGGCCACGAACGTCTGCGCCTCTTACGCCCAGCAGGCTTCCCTTAGCGCACCGCTACCGGTATGCCTCATCAGCTGTCGGTCAAGGCAGCAGCTGCGCAGAGCTGAAGAGCAGGCCGGTCTGTTGGAAACCCTCGCAGCTTGAACAGCTTCGGGGGGTGTCGGGGCTCATATATGATCAACTCCGTCGTAGCATGCACGCAGTAACGAGGGCGATTACCGTGGGGCGCCTAGAGTGGTCACCACCGTAGACACTGCACACGGCAGATGTGGCAAGCAGCAGCATGCTCTAAGCGAGTGGGGCATCCCTGCCCGAACCCGTGCCATATGTGGGACTACTCCAGAGGACGGACCTGTGACGCACCGCACAGGTTAGTAGTAAGGAATTGGCAAGTAAATTGTCAACTCAAGCGCGGCAGGACGTGTTCATCCAGTGCGCACCGATAATTGTGCATTGGCAGAGCACATGCATCTCCCAAAGCGGCCAACCATTGTAATCAGGGCTGTGCAAATCGTATGGTGTGCGTTGCTAGGACTGGGCACATGCGCTGGACTGTCATCGTTGAACGCTGGATAGTGGGTGAGCTCAGCTGTGTAGTCAAACCCAAGTGGGGGTCACGCGTGGTGCTGTTCAATCTTCAGCCGCGCTCGAGCCCGCCTCAGGGGCCCGCTACGTGCTGATTGGCGAGCTAGTACATGCTCATCATACCAATGCCTGCAATGACTTGTCTCATGCATAACTGCTGGCTCTGATTGGGCCCGTGCAGCAACCGCGCACATCCTTACAAGAGGTGCAGTGAAGCGCAGCAGGGCCGCTTGATCAACACAATGACGTTCAGGGCAACATCAAAATAAACAGCATAACATGCAGAGTTTTGTGCAGTCAACCAAGGGCATTCGGCGGTCGTGCTCTTGCTCGCAGCCCCCAGCGCGTGCAGCAAGCATGGAGCTCAATTGCCTGCTGAACCAGTGGTGGTGACAGCAGTACATAATGGCAATACTTGTACAATGAGGTGCAAACAGCTTGCCCCGGCCACCACAGCATGATCATGGATCCCAGGGACCTGTGTTGATCTATTTGTTGGTAGTTTATGCCTGACCAATACTTGGACGGGACTGGTTTTCATTGGACAAGCGGCAGACGTTGCAAATTTTGCACAGATGGCCTCCGCCTGCAGCGAGGCGGGGGCGCAGGCAGTGTGATTGTCCGCAGGAGTAGCAGGCAGCGCTGCCCAGCACAAGCGGTCTCATGTGTTTTGGACTATGCCGCCTGCTGCTTTGAGTGGGCATGTGGCCTCCAGTGCCAGTCCACAGGCCGTTTGGCAGTTGTGACTGTTCACCTTTTGATAGTAAACGAGCTTTTTCCTCTTGAAATTACTCATGGTATACGGTAGTGCGAACAGACACACAGTGTGCGGCGGATTGTCACATTTTGCATGCTGAGCAACACCGCAGCCCCTCACGCCATGCGCCCACAAGAAATGAAGCAGAGACCGCTCCACGCACATACAGCGCTTGGCCTCAGGGCCCGGGCTGCGTCGCAGGAGGCGTGTGAGCCACCTGTTGCGCGTGCGCCTGTGCCGCCTTGCACGCCTGCCGGTGCTCGGCCGCCCAGCCCTTCCTGTAGCAGGCGTCCGAGCAGAAGTGCGCCGCCCTGCAGCCCCTGCACAGCCGCAGCCTCGTGCCAGGCGCAGCGGCGGTTGTGCCGCAGAAACCGCGACGGGGCTGCGGATCCAGCACCGGCTGGGCCTGCAGTTGAGCCTCCTGATGCGGTGGCTGCAGCTCCTGGGGCGCCTGCTGGGGCATCTGTTGAGGCGCCGGCTGCGGAGCTGGCGCGCGCTCAGCCCCCGTGCATGGTGGCGCTGCGGGCGGCGGCATCGGCTCCGAAGGTTCGGTCCCATAACTCGTCAGCCACGTCAGCAGCCCTCCAAACCGGCCCATCCGGGGGCGCCCCTCACGCCGCCACCGTGGCCCCCAGCTGAGAGGCGTAGCGCTGCGCGCCCAGCACCAGCAGGTGGGACGGCCCCAGCGACCGCGCCATGCAGGCGGTGGCGGCGCCGATATCACGCAGCAGCGCCGCTTGGCGCTCCCGCCGCTCCGCCGCCGGCAGCCGCGTGTTGAGCGCCTTGAACCTGCAGTAGGTTTGAGATTCGTGGTTGTGGCAGCGTGAGGGTGTGAGCGTCTGTGGGATGTGTATCTGTTCAGGGAGCTCAGTGATACGGGCTGGACCGGTTGCACCTCAAGTTGGAGTATGCCGCAGCCGGAACAGTTGTGACAGTTGCATCAAGGCCCCGCCGACAGTGCACGTCGTTCATGCTGCCACCTCGCGCCCTCAAAACATGCACGGCCCCTGCTGCCCCGCACGCCACTGAAAGGTCGCGGCCCCCCAAGGGTGGCTCACGCGGCCATGGCCAGCCCCGCGTCCGCCTCGTGCGCCAGGGGGTGGTCCCCCTCCGCCTGGCCGGGGCCGCCCTGGCCCTGCGCCTGCGAGGCGTAGTAGGCCTTGCTGGCGGACAGCAGCTGCTGCGCGGCGCGGGGGTCGCGGCCGGCTGCGCAGATCATGCCCAGGCGGTGCAGGAACATCTGGACCTGAGGGGGGAGGGTGGGGGGGGGGGGGCAAGGGGGTACTGTACAGGAAGGTTTCAGCGCAGAAGGTTGAGTGTTTGCGCCATTTCGCCAAGGCAAGCGGGTGCAGCATGGGACATGGTCACAGCCCTGAATGCGGCAGCTTGGCTGCCACAGAGCAAGACTCAGGATGCCAGCGCGACAGCAAACGCCCAGTGAGCCCCTCCCCCAAGCTACTTGTGCTCTGCATCTGCTCGTCACCCGCTCCACTCTGCGCCTGCAGCCTCCCCAACGCGCCCCCCCGCACACCCTTATCATGAGTCCCCCCCCCCCTGGCGCGCACCAGGTCGTGGCCCTCAGGGTAGTGCTGCCTCACAAGCGCCGCGCCCCGCTGCAGCACGGTGCCCGCCTCCGGCAGCATGTCGTGCGCGTAGTACGTCACGGCCAGCTGGTACAGGGTGAGGCCCAGCTCCGGGGAGTCCGGGGCTATGGCCTCCTGGAGGGGGGGAGGGACGTGTTTGAGTGCGGTTGGTTGGTGGTCGGCTGAGCAATTGCTGCTTGATCGTGCAGCTTTGAGTGTGCAGCTTTGCACTGATTGTTGCTTCAAGGAACCGCCCAAGAAACCAGACCTTGAATCAGCAAATATTCTGTATCGTTTGTCACACCACCATGCGTGGCGCCATCCTGCACAATCAAACTGCTACTTGGCCCAGGCTGCCGCCGCTCACCCTGCACACACCCAGCAGATCCCCACGCGCCCACCCCTCAAAATGAGAACCCGCCGCCCCAGGGCCCCCACCTGCAGGCGGATGTGCTGCTGAAACAGCGCCTCCCCCAGGGCGAACCCGCCCCGCCCGCTGTCCAGCGCCGCGCCCACCAGCCGGCTGTGCTGCCCCACAGCCAGCCGCACGATCATGCTGTCTGGGCCCATGGCAGGCGCCAGGACCTTGAGCGGCGCCAGCAGCGCGTCGTCGGCCGCAACCACGTCCGACGGGCTTGATGCAGCACCAGCCTGCAAGGGTCAGGGGCCAGGGTGCCAGTGCGGGTGAGCACGGGCATCGTGGCGCGAGCGCGGCGGCAGTGCGGCGAGGCTCCCTGCCCATGCTCGGCTGCTGGTGGTCTTGAACATGGATGGCGACCCAGTACAGTCGGCGTCAGTGTGCCATATGAAAAGGTTTTGAAAACATTATGATTGAATTATTGAAGCACTTGTAGGTTGGCTGTTGTCTCCAGCATGCAGACCTGCCGCAAACACAGAAGCATGGCATAAGATGCCGCATCAGGCTGAAAGTGCACCACTTCCACCCGGACATGCCCCCCTTCACGCGCCAAGTCTCCGCCTACCCACCTGCAGCAGCCCCAGGTAGTACTTGGCTTCATGGAGGCCCATATCCTGTGGTGGTGGTGGGGGGGGGAGGGGAACTTATGAAGAGCGTGGATGTGTTGCGTGCTGTGTTCCTGTTAGACTGCAGGCATGTGTGTGTGTGCGTGTGTGTGTGTGTGTGTGTGTGTGTGTGTGTGTGTGGTTGCGAGTGTGAGACAGAGATAGAAAATGCAGTTGTTGCATGCATACACAACACGCAGTTTTAAAGAGTCAGAAGATCTTAGACAGTGGCGCCACCAGACCTGTGTACTGTGCTGGCTCTGTGGGAGTGGAAGGCATCGCATGCTCCGCACATGGGAGCCCCGACCCTCAACACCTCGAAAACAAAGCGGCGCAAGCGACCCGCTCTTCACCGCATGCACGCACCTCGGGGTAGGGCCCAAGCATGTCTGCCGTAACCGCCAGCAGCGGCCGAGCGTCGTCGCCGCGCCCCTGGCCCACGCGCACAGCGGCGAGGCGCAGCAGGCGGTGCGCCGTGAGGGGGTGGGCGGCGCCGAAGACCGCTTGTGTCACCTCCAGGGCCGCCTGCGGTAGGTTGAGGGCAGGGTGGAGGGGAAGCCTGCCGTCATGCGTGTGCATGCATGTGCGTGTGGATGTGCACGCTTATCGTGATGGTGACGAGGGCGAGGCTAAGGAGGCCTGGGTGGGGGTGAGAGAGCCCTTGAGTCAGGCGAGGGTGGCCTTTTCCCCCTCCTGCCCTCACCTGTGCGTGTGTCGCGGCCTGGTCTGGCTGCCCCCCCAGGAACAGCAGCAGCGCCGCCTGGTTGTGCAGCTCACCCAGCTCAGGGCTGGGGGCCAGACGTGGGGTTGTGAGCGCAGGGTATGGTTTTAAGATAGCCGTCTGGGCCAGGGAGGTTCAGACGGGCCTGTTAGGCAACGCGCCCGCCACACCCGGAAACAATCCATAACAGTAGGCAGCGAGGACAAACGCCTGCACTACTGCAGGGTGCTGAGCTGCCCCTGCCGCACCCCTGGGACGACGCTGCCCAACCCCGCGACCCCTCCTGCAACCCTGAAACCGCACCTGCCGGGATAGGCTGCCCCCAGCACGTCGATGCCCTGCTGCAGCACCTGCACCGCCTGCCCCAGCTTGCCGGCCTCCACCAGCTCAACAGCCGCGTCAACCAGCTTGTCCATTGACGCCTGGCGGGCCACAGTAACGGCCAATGGATGGACGGAGGTGCCGGGTGGCAGGATTCAGGGGCTAGGCGTGATGCGTGGAGGCGCGACGACAGAGCGCACCAGAGTGCATTCTGCCATCTGTACTGCAGGCGTACGCGTACGCTGTTGTACTGAGTTTGTCCAGCGACAGTGCGGGCTGCTCCGCACTGGTGGTGGGCACCGCACATACAGTCTCCTCCCGCCACGCTTCCGCAAGGTTGTTATGGGCTGCGTGCCAGGCGGCCCCCCTCACATGCAAAGATGACGGGCTGCCTGTGCCGCCGCCCCCGCTGCTGCCATCGGTGCTGCTGCCACCCGCGCTGTTGCCGCTGCTGCTGCTGCTGCCGCCGTCATCCCCGGATGTCGCAAGCCCTCGGAACTGCTGCTGATTTGACTGCCAGCCTAGCACTATGCCTGCTTGGGGGCTGGCCCTGCATGCGTGCATCCCATTGCCCCTGTGGAGCCATGCAACGCGCCGCACTGCTTCAGTTGCAGTGGTCGCAACTGCTCGCTGGCAAATGTCAGGGGCAGCTGCAGACGGGGACGTGCCCGGATCGCTACATGCCAGACCGCCCTGCTGCTGTGAGACGCCCTGGGCCCCGGCCGCCAGCCGCGTGCGCTGCAGCAGCGATGCCAAAAGTCGCCTGCCAGCACGCTGCGTGGGCGAGGCAAGCGGGCGTGACATGCACCTCAACTAGTGCGCATGCCCCAAACACACATGCATGCGTACAAATGCGCAAACGCGCCCTGTCTGGCTTGCCTGCATGGCCTCGTTTGTCGTGGCTGTCAAAAAGATCTTGAGATCACGCTGTGAGTTCCTTTCGCGCAAACGTTGCGCACACAAAGACTATCGCTTCACTGGGCACAATTGAATCTGTGACCACCAACAGTCCTACAAGCCAGTCACCTGACCTGTTCGACCGACGAAACCCCGCACCTCGCGCTGCAAACGCGCCTGCGCTCGCTGAGACGCTAGTCTTATAACTGGACTACGATTCAAAACACTGACAGAGCTATAATCGCGGCTGCGTAACGAGCGCGAGGCGGCGCCGCCTCAACGTTTGCGCACTCGCGCCAGTAGCGCTTTGATCAGCAAGGATCGCTCGCTAGGGGACAGCAGCCGCCCTAGGGGCGTGCGCGGCGGCGATGTCCTTTTCAAATAGCGGCCGCCGCCGCGACCTGGCACCCCTGCTGCAGCCACTGAACGGCTCGCCGCCGGCGCTTCAGACCAGCACGGTGCTCGCCCACATGCAGGCGCACACCCAGCGCGCACAGGCCGCCGGCGTCAGCCCCGGGCTGCGCGCCAGCGGCGCCAACAGCGGTGCAGGCGCGGCGGGCACCGGGCCCAGCCGCTTCCCGGCCGTCGCACGCGGCGGGGCCAGGCCCGCAATCGCGACGGCGGCGCAGCAGGCAGCGGCGGCGCGGCAAAAAGACAAATGGGTACCCTTGCCTGAGGAGGAGGACAGCGCCAGCGACGCGGAGCCTACGGCGGCGGCCGCGGCCGCAGCGGCTGCTGCAGCGGCTGCGGCCGCCGAGCTGCAGCGGCAGATCAGCAGCGGGTCGGCGGAGGAAGCCCTGCAGGTGGGGCGAGGCAGGAGGCGGCGACATGCATGCGCGAGTGGACAGCCATGCGCCAACGCGCACGCGCGCGGGTTCGTTTGGTGTAGATGCTGTGTTCAGCAATCACGACCTGTCTCGTGCGATGCATTCAGGCGGGGTGCAACTCCTTGCCGGGTGCAATGGCTCCCCCCTTCCTCAGGCCAGCCCCGCCGCGACCTGCGCCCTCCACCTCGCCGCCCCTCCCGCTTGCCACGTGTCACCCCCACCACCCTCCCTCGCCCCTCGCTCAAACCTCCCAGGCCATGGCCCTGGGGCCGGGCATTTTCGAGGACCTGCCGCAGGGGTTGGGGGGCTTTGCGCAGCCGCCCAGCAGGCGCGGCCGCATCACGCTCTACTGGTGAGCTGCCAGGCGGAGATGGGACACGGGGCGGCGCCGCGTAGGAATGGGTGGTGCCTGTGGCTGGGGGCTGGGCGAGAGTCGCGCAGCGCGCGCATGCGCCACGGGGCAGCTGCTTTCGCCGATTTCAAGCACGCCCCGCGGCTTGCCCCCTGCCAAGCTCGGTCTGTTGGTGCCCGCCTCGAGCGTCTCTGGTGTAGAGTTGGCGGCTGGCGCTGTACCGTGGCCCCCGCGCGGCGGTCGCACCTGCCGGCCGGCCCCAACCCCCTTGATCACAGCAAACCATAACACGGGCTGCTCTCTGCCCTCGCCAACGCCCTGATGCATCATCCCCCCGCAAGCCAAACACACTCATGCGCCCACCCGCCCACCCTGTGTGCACAC